TGGCAGCGTTGTCACTATTTGGAATAGTCCGACGTCATGCGTGAGATAGCACAGTCTCATTTGGAGAGTTGTTCAAATCGATTAATAGATCTCACTCGCTAATCTTAGATGACCAAACGATAACGATCGTATACGTACTGCACTTAGAGTATTGACGGATACCAGCGTCTTACGCTGCAAGAATTTTTACGACTTAGCCCGGCGACTAGAATCGGAGGCATATTTCAACAAGTGAAATATCTTGTAGTATCTACATTGTGATCCGCAAGATTCACATTAATTATATGCGGCAAATCCGATAACATTCTGTCAATTAATACATGATTCTAGATGTACTCGCAGAATGTTATGTTAATCTATATGCACACTGATATATACCTTGTAATTTCTCTTTTCTAATTATATGCCGCAGAATGTCTGCGTTAATTATGGCGCAGCAGCGATAGCCCTTGGCAATTTACCGATGTGAATATATCATGTAGATATTATTTCCAACAACGAATATCTGTAATTACTATTATTCTTATGGTATTTCGTGGAAAGACAATGTTAATTATATGCAAACACGATAACATATTCTTTGTAATAAACATGATGCCCTCAGAGCAGTGCCTGCAGCCGGATATACGCGGGCGAAGCGCGCAATACCGGCCTGCGCAGCGCGACACAATGACTTAATCGCGCCCTTATTTAGAATAGCTTTCACGAGGCCCTTCTGGGTATCAGGATAAAGCCGTATAATCGGTCATGAGGCAGTCTCTGGCCAATTGGCAGAAGCGCGTTTGACTCTGGCAGCTAGTCGATGAATAAATTCAATGGTCGTAATCGTACTTTGTTTGGTTGGCGCGTTCGTTTTTTTCTATAATAGAGCGATTCTAATTTATTTAATTTAACGCCCTGAGTTTTATTCTGCGTACATATCGCGGCCTCATAGATCGCGCCCACGAGGCTCTCTGCGAGGCATTTCGCACCAGAAATTTTCTTGAGACTGCCCCGCGCGCAGAGTCACGAACGCTCCACTAACATAACTATTAGTGATGGCGAACAGACTTGCCGCGAATTAACGTCGCGTACCAGTCTAACTCAAATCCGTGACGTGTGCGTTTTTCAATATCGTGTAGCCGATGTCTTCTCGCTTATGAACCTCTTGACCCCGCCTTCGAGGCACTCCTCTGCTAGCCGCCTTTTGGCCGTTTTGCGATATTACCATGCACTGGCAGCAGATCAAGTCCCGCGACGTACAGCACACGCCGACTGATGATCAGTTTGTTTTAGACTGAGCCACTAGGCGGCTACATTAACACTGGTATTACCAATTTCCACACCTACGGAACTAGCGAAATACTTGTATTACGCTACAAGTACATGTTACAATTAATTACTCCTAATGCTAAGTACTACTGACTACTTATAGTACTAGATTCAGTATAGTGAGCTACTAAGTTACCAGCACTACTAGTACTAGTACTAGTAACTACCAGGACCGCAGGAGCTAATAGTAATCAGTAATAATGACTAACTCTGGTTACTAGAATTTAACTTACTAATAAATGAGAACCCTAACATAACCCTAATCTATTATATTGATATAATATTATCATTTATATGATTTAAATGACATTGGTTTTTATTGCCCATGCTATACATTGGGCGCGCATATAATATTTGGGAGGCCATGTCTCTAATCCTTGAACCACTAGTACTACCTAAGATCTACTATCCGACTAGAAGACACGCTCTTTAATGCTAGTGGTTAGAATACCCCCGTAGGCGCTATACTAGACACAGGCAGCTTGAAGCGTTTCAGATAAATAAAATAATGCTAATCTAAATACGAAATCTATTTACTACGAAATTGTTTAATGTGTTCTAGTATAGGCCACCTCTCCAGAAGGTTGCGAGTGGCAAAGACTATATATAGACTAGGACTCGCTCCGATCAGCTCGATTAGCCGCATTGAGTGACTAAGCATAAGCGAGGAGGTGCGAAGAGATGCCAGTCTATGGGCTAATAGGCGGCGGGCAGGCGCGCACTCTTTCCAACTGCCGCGTAGCGAAGCCTGCGCCATGGAACGGTTGCAGAAGAACGTTGCAGGCGTTGGGGCGCGAAGAGCGCGGTGGTTTTTCGTCAGATTCGACAGCCGTTTCTATTACGGGCAAGGTTCGCGGAATGTCAGAATTTCGAACAGTCTTTCTGTGATTTCGCAAGTTGACACAGCTCGTTTTACGAACAGATGACTCGTACAGTTTTTATAACAAGTTCAACACTCGTTCACAGAGTCCCAAATGCTACCCTCTGTTCCCCACTAAGAATTGGCGGACTGTTCGGCTGGCAGCTATGGATCCGTGCGCGTTCCGCCTGAAATTTCATTCGCGCACGACCATAGCTGGGGCCAGCGCTGCATACTGTCGTAGGAGCGTTCGCCCCGCGGCTCTGCGTGGCGCCCTTGCGCGAACTGCGGCGAATAGATCTGCGCTTGAGCGCTTGGGAAATCCAAATCTCCTTTCGGCAACGCTCTCTAGTATCCCGTCTGCATCTGATGAACTCGCAGAATGTTATGTTAATTATATGCACAGGCCGATCGTCATATGCTTGTTATTCACTATTATCCTTAATTGTAATTCCGCAACATGACATGGTTAAATTATATGCACTACCGATACCATATCTTGTTATTACTATTATTCTTATTTGTACGACGCAGAAGTTGCCATATTAATCAACTGTACGGTGCATGCCCTATCTCGTGATATACCTGTAGTCCGAACGTTTGAAGTTGGGCAGCCTGCTTTTTGCAGTATCAAAATCTCATGTTAATTATGATTTCCACGGAAATCTTGTAATTATTTATTGATTCTTATTGTATTCGCCGACGTCTGTTAATTATTTCTAACACTAACATCTGTAATCTACAATTATGCGAAATTTAATTTTGGCAAATGTAATGTTAATTATTTGCCATACCGAATATATATATTGTCATTCATATTTTTTATAATTGTATGCGCAGCATGTCCTGTTAATTATATGCAGCACCGATATTATATCTTGTAATTACTATTATCCCAATTGTATACGCCAATCGCTGTTTACTGCATTTGCATACTTTATGTACATAAATTCTAATTGTAGCGCCTCAGCAACGTCATGATTTAGATTACTGTCACGGTGGCTGCCGCCTAATTATTGTGAATGTAAGTCTCGGCGTATCATTGCAACACTCTAATTTGATATTTCGAATATCATGTTAATTATTATTTTCCAACGAATACTTGTAATTACTGTTATCGCTAATGTATGTCGCTGAAAGCGCCTGATTATTAATTGGGGCATGTCTAAAATCATGATCTTGCATTTAATATTACAGTAATTCTAATAGTACCCGCAGAATGTCAGTACGGTGCAGACTGTAACTATGCTGCCCGCCCGCTATTCCTGTGATAACATTATTCAGTTTTGCTTTTAAATGAATAAATAAGAAATACCCTCGGACTGTAGCCCTTGGCTGGAAAGTGGTTTTGCGCAACTTCTCAGATCGTGCGCTTTGAGTGGCGCCACCGTCGTTGTAATCAAACTGTAGTCGTTAGTTTTAAAACATTTTTTTTAAATATTTCTAATGGTGATTGAACCATGAAACTTTTTATGTAGCGCAATTATAACCTAAATTAGCTGAAAATAACCCTAGAACCTAGAGGCTACTGTTCCTTTAATGAATTTCTAACCGGTTTTCTTATCGCAGGTGTCAGACAGTAGGTTCCAAGCTCTAATAAACGCGCGTTTGGTAGCTGCTACAAATATATGCTCCACTTTACTGGCCGACGACTCCTCCATCTTCTCCCACAGCTCCTCAGCGCTGAACTTTATAAGTCCGCTCTCACTCACCAGCGGACCACTATCAAAACGTCCCAGTAACTCATCCAGGTGCCGCTCACGCAAATACGCAACCGGCACGTATGAGATCGTTTTACCGCAGTCCTCGGCCAAAACATTGAAATTATCAATATAAGGATGCGGCATGTTGCGATTATTTGTACACGATTGTATGTACTTAAATATTTTACGCACGATTACTGGGAACGGCAACGGATCCGCTGAGTTGAGTGATGCGACATGAAGCAGCGCAAGTTTTAGGAAGTAGGAGTCGATCAGTTTCCTAGGCTTAAAGCGAGTGGCGATATACAGCTGAATAACGTCTATGTTAACTGTACGTAAAATTGTAACGTCACTGTCTGTAAGCAACTCATTCTTATTCGATATATTTCGACACTTATAATAACAATCATGTACTTGGGGATCAAGAAACGCCTTTGCTGTGATTAGAGCCTGGCGATAAACTGGATGGAAACTTTTGATCATATTGCTTTCCGCTACTGCCGTACAGACGGACCAGCACGTGTTATTTGTGTCCACGCCAGGCTTGGGTACCACGTGGTAGTAGTCATCAGGAAAGATTGTTGCGCCAGCTGGCTTGCCCGAGATTCGTACTCCCGGCGTGCAATCTACCGATATAGGTAGATATCTAAAATGTCCGCCGCCAACAAATTTGAAATTAAATTGTGTGCAAACTTTGTTCCATACCAAAATATTTAAGCGCGAGAGAGAGGGAGAGAAGGAGAGAGGGAGAGAGGGAGAAAGGGAGAGAGAGAGAGAGAGAGCGAGAGAGAGAAGGAGGGAGAGAGAGGAATGCTGTACTACATACACTACATAGCCAGCTCTTGTTACTCGTGTCCGCATAGTCTCGCAAAACGTGCTATCAGGTATTCCTTATTACGTGCTAAACTCAAGTAAATATTATTGACCAATAGCACTAAAATACGAACAATGGTCAATTCTATGCACGCTAGCAAGGTCATTGGGTGACGCTATTACAACAAACGGTACACAAATTTGGTCTCAACAAATGTTATAAATAAACTAATTATTAATTCACAGTCACTGACAGCTAAAGGTTTGAAAGCTGCATTTAGCTAGTAATTTCGAACCGGTTTTATCTATTTCAGGTGTACAGTAGGCGCCAATAATTTTGTATTCATCAAACGGTGGCGACAGGATGCGACGCTTGGCACGTCACACCTAGCGCATAAGACGCTACGCATATACCGCTCGATGACAATGAACGGGCGCGCCTCCCGTATCGCCTTGCGCCGGGAATGGGTGACGCGACGCGCCACACCTACGAGCCAACGTCCGGCCGATAATGACGAAAAACCGGACGAATTGAAAATGTCGCCGGCCGGTTTTCGGAAACGTATAAATAGGCACGGACGAAAGATCATAAGTTAGTTATTATCCAGAGGAAGAGACGAGAGACGAGAGACGATGTAGTGGAAATAGACGAAAACAGAGATGACGGGGCCTAGGCTTGGGTGCCTAGGTCGCTGTAGTGTATATATATTTGTATTGTGTTTTACTAATAAAGTCAGTCTTCAAGAACAATTTCTTCGACTACATCATCTTTACTCGTTGCTACAATCTGCTACCATTTGCTAACTCTACGATGCTACGATGCCGGAGCGGAGATCAACAACTTTACAACTCTACGATGCTACGATGCCGGAGCGGAGATCAACAACTTTACAACTCTACGATGCTACGATGCCGGAGCAGAGATTAACAACTTTATACAACTCTACGATGCTACGATGCCGGAGCGGAGAAAACAATCTTTTCCCAGTACAATAAATAGATGGATGGTTGCATGGATATATAGATAGATAGATAGGTAGATTGATGGATAGATACACAGATAGATCGATCGATAGATAGATAGATTTATTGAATGACCATTCGCAGTTAGTTAATGCTTTCTTAATTCTGTGTACACACACGATTTATATCTCAACAAATGCTTAAAATGATGTTTAGAATATTGTAGGTTATGCATTCGTGTACGTAGTTCGTTCTGAAGAATATAAAATGCGAGCTATAACGGACTTCAGCAGTAAACCCGATTCCTGCGAACTTTTAAATTATTACGGTTAGCAATGGCAGAAGAAAGAAGGAAAGGAGACCGACCGGGTCCCATGCGAAATTCTAGAGCAACTCTATTTGCATCGCTATGGCAACGGCATTGCCGTGAAAGATTTATTTGATTACAAGTAGATCGCTGCCATGTAAAGTGTGCAAGTACTTCATTATCAAAACATAATCCAAGACAAATATATTGCATGTAGAAAAATTTTGAAATTACATGAAAGTCTATCATTCATTTATTTGAAAAATACATATTAATTTCATATCGGCAATTCATTAAGTACTTGTGATATCACAATAATTTACAGCAAGTGATACATAAATAAATAAATAAAAGTATGAATAATTGAATGAATAAATAAATGTAATAAATAAACAAATTTTTAATTAAAGGGATACAACTGTAATTACTGTATAACAAATCGTCTATACCCACATGTATTTGTCACCAGATACTTAATTAATTATTTACACATCAACGCTACGAAATTTGATCGGCGCCATGACACCCGCGACTGTGCTGCCACCCTGAAAAAGTTGCGTATTTGCATTTTTATTTTGCAGGTAAATGACCGAGGGCTAATCACAAAAGTGCAATTATATTTATACCTAAATGCTATTTAACCGAACGATATTCATTTTAGGGCAAATTTATCCATATTATTGTAGCAACGCTAATATCATTTCGCGAACGCAT